ACATTCACCAAACTTGGAAAGCCTGCAGGGCCAGACAGTGTCTTCCTGACTTTCTGAAAAACAGGTCAGCATGGCCACAGCAGCCTGATGCAGTTCTTTCCCTGAATGGATGCCACTGGCCAAACAACCAAAGTATGGAAACAGGTAAATGCCTCTGCTATCCTGAGACCTTGGAATGCAGTCACACTCTGGAAAATCCCCAGCTGATATCATTACTATATAGAATGTACAAGCTCTTGGAAAGATTGTTACTCCAGTCAGCTATACCTGTTTTTGAGTATACATTCCTAAAGAAGATTTAGGCCAGGACAAAGCATCTGTGATCAGGTAATAAGACATAAAATATCATATTGCATCTATATAAATCCATGGCATGCTCATATCTTGATTACTGCATTCAGATCTGGTTGCTCCATCTCAAAAGAGAGATATAAGGAATTGGAAAAGGAAGGGCAACAGAAATGATTAGAGATATGAATAATTTCCTTATGGGAGAGATTAATAAGATTGGGACTTTTGACTAAAGTCCCAATGACTAAACAGGTATATGAGAAAGTAAATAAGGAAGTGTCATTTACTCCTAACACAAGAGCTAGAGGTCATCAAATGAAAATAATAGAAAGCAGGTTAAAACAAATGAAAGTATTTCTTCGCACAACACACAGTCAACTTGTGTAACTCTTGCTAGAGGATGTTGTAAAGAATAAGGCCAAAACCAACTTAAAAAAAAACAAAAACCCTGGATAAGTTCATGGAGGATAGATCCATCAATGGCTTAGCCAAGATGGGCAGAGATGTAAAACCATACGCTGAAGGATCCCTAGGCTCTGCTTGCCAGAATGGATCACTTGCTGATTTCTGAGAATGGATCACTTGCTGATTTCTGTTGTGTTTATTCCCTCTGAAATGCCTGGCACTGACCATAGTCAGAATACAGGTTATAGGGCTACATGGACCCAGTATGGCTGTTCTTATGTTCCACCTAAGCAGCCACTATGAAAATAAGTGCTTGACTGTCACCTTCTTTAGCACCAAATGCAATTACGAGTATTTCCAAAAATATCTCCAGGTAGTTCCTGATTGAAGCCTCTCATAACATCAATATCTGATGAAGACAGCTGGCAGGATAAATGCTAGTCCACAAATTATTTGGCGCTAGTTGGGGGAACAGATTCTCACATCTTGTAGACTGCCCCATTGGCCTGGCTTGTCTCAGCAGCTGAATGTTGTATACAGTGTATATTTGCTGCAGGTAGCACAAATATGAAACTTGTCAATAGATAGCATAGACAGGTAACATCAATTTCTTGCACAAGAAAGCCCAATGGCTAAAATGGCCATCGGAGCTTTCTTGCGCAAGAGAGCATCTACACTGGCATGGATGCTTTTGTGCAAAAGCAAATTTTTTGCACAAAGATACATGCCATTGTAGACGCTCTCTTACTCAAAAACTCTAACACAAAAACTCTTGCGTTTAGAGTATTTGCGCTAAATCTTGCCAGTCTAGACGTAGCCTAGAACTGTCACCAAAAGACTAGTAGTAGAGTATGTGAAAAATAGGCAGGATCAAGAATCAGGACCTGCTCACGGATCCTACAGACCAACCACCTGGCTTCACCATGGCCAATATGGATCACATTGAACTATATCAAAAGCATACACCTTCATTGCCTACTACACAAATGAAAAATGAAGGATGATCCAGTGTATATGAATGTAGAGAAGACATCCAAACTAAGGAATATTTGTAGGGAGCAACTGACTTCTAAAATACTTCTCTGGAAAGGTAGCTTTGATTGATTTCATTTACCAGAAGCCATATCATTCATGACAAACTTGGACATCAACCTTTAATGTTCCTTCTGAAGCTATCACACAGAAGATGATGATGTGGGAGCACAGGGAAATTTGTCTGTTTTGTTTGTATAGAGAGACGTGGTTGCCACAGTTGCTAATGTTGTACCTTTTGTACGCACTAAAATACACTTTTCAAAAATAAGCTTAATGTAGGTTGTATGTAGGCAGCAAATGTGGAGCTGTCATCTGTCTTCTAGCATAACTCTGGGTGCCATAATAATATTATGGGGAATCTGACCTGGTTCGTGGTGATATAATCCTGACAAAACTAATACACTTCACCTACAAACTTAAAATTAAAATCATGTTAATATTGTATTAATAAACCTGCTGCTAAAGATCCAACATACTGGCCACACCAATGGCCCCTAGAGAGTCACCATCGGCATACAAGAGCATCTTTGCTCCATAATTATTAGAGCCAACTACTATCAGCTACAGAAAAGACATAGAGCTACACAGAGGCAACATCTGCAGCTCATTAGTATTTTACAGTAGGAATGCTGTTTCAGTATTAAATAAGGGATTAAGCCCAGCCTGAGGGAGCTCTAATAGATCATCAAAACTGCAGTGTATGTCTATTCCATTAGATCAGAGGGAAACTGTACCTTGGTTTCACTGAAGTGATCTTATTATAATATTGAAATAAAAATTCACCATATGCTGGTCATTAGACACAGTGGAACAACTCTTGAATTCCTTACTTTGTTTTCACTCAGTGAAACATAGACGTGGGAACTAGGGATGTGAAGGAATGCTGCAGCACCCTCAATTTTTGTATGAGGTCTCTGCCGCTAGCCCCATGCTCAGGGTCCCCAGCTGCAGGAACCATACCAGGGGCTCTGCTCCTGGCCTCATGCACAGGAACCGTGCCCAGAGCTCTGCTCCTGGCTCGGTGTCTGGGGTCCATGCAAGGGTTCTGCTCCTGTTGGATCCATGCTTGGGGCTGTCTTTGTCCTGGCTACAAGACCAGCACCTGGGACTTTACTTCTTCCCCCAGCTCTGGTTCCAGCCCTAATCCCCTTACTCCTGTCTCCTGCCTTTAAAAAACACATCCTGGTTCTTCCCCCAGCTCTGGGGAGATGGGGCATGGACAGGTATTAAAGGGGTGTGCAAGGTAAAAAGTTTGAGGACCACTGGTTTGCAGCACAGTCACTGTAAAAAGTGTTCCAGTACCACTACAGTGGAAGATTTTGATTCAAAAAATTAAATGTGTGTGTTGCAGAGACATTTTTGATACCACCACCACCATTATCATCATTAGAAGGTAGCCATAATGACAAGTCTCTTACAGGCCTTCAAGCATCTATTCAACATTAGTTTCCTTCAGTAGCAGTTTCTGTTCATCTTAGACAAAGACCTGAACTTGCAGCATTCTTTTATGCTATCTATATTGCCTTCCACATAGCACAACACGAATAACTGAAGGAAAAGAATGAAATACATTCACTCTAAAAATAGTCCTCTAGGTGAATTTAAACTCACTAATCCCCCATTATGTGCTGCAACTGAAGAAAGAGAGGAAAAATTAAAGGAAGATTTAAAGAATCAACACTTAATCCAAGATGTTTGGTCAAACTTGAGAAATGACCACATGGTGACATGCATTCCTCTTGAATGTTGTGAATTCTAGATCTGAAAAGAAAACTCTGGATTATTGTGTTTATGATGGTGAAGATGCCACACAAGCAGGCAAAAAAAAAAGTATGACAAGAAGGTCTCTTTCACTTGTTCAAACAGAAACATGAGAACTGAAAGTGTAATAATGCAAACTTTGCCTGAAAACAGAGGATTGATGGTCCAGTTTCCCAACACATACCTGATGGAATTCTCAAGAAGAATTTGTCTCTACGGGTATGTCTACACTACCCCGCTAGTTCGAACTAGCGGGGTAATGTATGCATACCGCACTTGCTAATGAAGCCCGGGATTTGAATTTCCCGGGCTTCATTAGCATAAGCGGGGAGCCGCCTTTTTTAAATCCCCTCTGCTTCGAACCCCGTGCAGCGCGGCTACACGGGGCTCGAACTAGGTAGTTCGGACTAGG